TGTCCCTTTCTTGATTCATCCATCAATCTATCTTATTTTTTGATGCATTTTTGATGATCAGAGTATTTTGCAGACAAAAATACTTCTAAATGCTTCAGCATGCATATCATTAACTAGAATTCAGTGTTTGGTTTTTCTTTGAAGGTAACATATGTCATGAAATGCACAAATCTTAAGTGCACATTCAATTAATTTTGACAAATGTGTATACCTGTGTAACAGAAACTCCTATCAACGTATAAACCTTATTGTCACCCCCAGAAAGTTCCCTCATGCTCCTTCCCAGGAGGTTCTTTCTCCTGTTCTACAAAGGTAACCATTGTTCTGATCATTCTACTGCAGACTGATTTTGCCTTTTCTAGAACTTCATGTAAGTGGAATCAGAGCATGTGCTTTCTTGTGCAAGGCTTCTTTGACTTAGCATAATTTTTTGAGATTCATCCATATTGTTGTATAGATCAGTATTTTTTTTTATATTGGTGAGCAGTATTCCATCACATGAATATGTCATTATTTATTGTCTTCTGAAGGACACTTGAGCTGTTTTCATGGCAACTTATTGCTGTTATCACTTATTTTATACAGAGTGAAGTCATATCTCCCTTGCTTATTCCTTCACTCTTAAGTCATGTCAATTATGGCTTAGTAAATGCTTGTGAAGGGATTTTTTTAAATTCCCTGGTAACTCAGCAACATCATTTCTCTCTACCTTAGATCTTAGCCAGTGAAAGAGATCAAGTAGTTGCTGATTTTAAATGTGTATTACACTGGATTATAAGGTAGTTCCATTTTCAGTTTTTTGAGGAACCTCCATATTGTTTGCCTTAGTGGCTGCTTTGTATACCTGAAACGAAAAAAAAAAAAATGTATCACACATGTTGGTGTGTGGTTTTCTTTTTAATGTTGATAAATAAATTATCCCATGGAAGCTACTGCTTCCATGCTAGCTAGGTACATCTTGAGATCTTAAACTGCCTCCCAACCCTACTCCCATCCTAAAGTTTTCGAACAGCATTGTGGGCTCACTGTTAGGGGGAGGTGGAAGGGGAGGAGGCAGTGTGTCGTTTCTGGTGGCTGTAGGTGGGGAGTTCTCACTGTAACCAGCAGTGGCAGCAGGAAAGGACAGAAATAGGGACAGGAGAAGGGAGACACTCATCACCAATTATGCATGGCTAACGTCAGCCTCTACTGCAGTTGAAAATTGAAACTCAATATTTTTGCAGAGAGAAATTCAAGTTGACCTGTTTGCAGTATTTCATTTGCTAATTAGGCAGTACTGTACCGTACCGTCTTTGATGGAATGGCAAGGTGACAACTCTTACAAATTTAAACATACCACCTTTGCCATGTTTTTGTCTACTGTATGTAGGGTGTACATGCTTTGTATCTGTCCTCAAAATACCATAAGGACATCAAGAGTTGTTTTATGATAGCCTCTCTTCATTTAATTTGTGATATCCCAGAGAAAACCTAATTTAATAAAAAAAAATCTGCATGATTTAAGGACAAGTAACTAAGGATATCAAAGAAGCATTTAAAATATTAAAAGCCACTCTATATTTCCAGAAGGTATGAAAGTAATACTACTTAATAGGTTAGCTGCCACCCTGCACTTTCAAAGCACTTTAGAGTCATTCATCTGTCTGAGGTGGGACAGTATTAGCACCCTTGCTTGGTGAATAGATGAGAATTCTTTTTTTCCCCCTGTGTTTTACTGTATTTGAATTCCGGAATTTATCCAGAACTGTCTAAACTGTGCTTGTGGTCTTCTGATGGCTTAACAAAGATTCCTTTTCATAATGGCTTTCTCTCCTTATCTCCTAAATACCTTGGGGATATTTTTTTTGGAAGAGTTGTTAAAACTAGATACTGTCAGCTTTTGTGGTAGCAGTCAAAATAAATTTAAATTGAAAATTTGTAAGAGATTATACTACTCATAGAAGATAAAACAATTATATATAAACATAGCTGAAATACTTCATAAATTTGGATAGTCTTTAAGCAAATAGAGCTTTGATGGGCACCTAATAATCATGGTTTTCCTTTCCACAAAGAGAAAGAAGCCACAGGTGTTTATTTCCTGATTTTGTCATAAATGGTTATGAGGATAGCATCTTTGCAAATTACTGGTTACGTTATTACTTGAACTAATATTCAATCTTAAATTAGAGTGTGTTTATGTATGGCAATTTTTTAATTCGAAGAAGTAAAGTGTCACCATATTCAGATACCTGGATGTGCTGGTTTTGTTCCATTAAACACAAAACATTTTGAAGGTAAAAATCCCAAAGCCTGATTTATTTTATCTATGCTTATGTTTATTTGCAAGTACGTTTAATCCTGTTCTTGTTTTTGAGCTTCTTACTACTGCATAAAAATATTAGGTAGTCTTAATGTAGATATCTCCAGCACTTCTACAGAAAGTCATTGTCAGAGAAATCATTCTAATTCAAGGTTAATTAGTGTACCATTAAAATAATGTGTTACAAAAATTAATTACATTGCAGGTCAAGCAACGTGTTAAAAAGCATAGTGGAAACGTCTGAGAGCACATCATCTCCCTTGAAACATTGCTGTATGGGTGCCACCCTTCTGGAAAATATATCCAAAGTGAAAATCACTATTGAGGTCCAGTCAGAGGTGTTTCCCCTAAAGTAAATTTTTGGCACCACATATGGGAAATTTAAAATATAACTCCCATTAACAGTAAAATGTGTTGCTTGTCTGCTTTCCCATTGAAACACCTAAGGATTTATATTTTAATATTAATTGATGTAACCCTATTGGGTTACACCTAAGGAGAAATCAGGAACCTAGTGGAGAAGCAGAAATGATCTGTACCTCTTGTGGCAACAGTACTAGATATATTATGTTTTCTTACTTAACTATTAGGCAGTTCTGGTAGGTGCCCTGTGTAAGTATATCACACATCATTTTAACTATGTAGTAATTCTCGTCATTAGTTTAACTTAATAGCCATAAAATGTACGCTTAAAGTTCGAACTAAAAAATGATAGACTTTGAAATTTTATCAGATTCTTTTCATGTAAAAGCTGTGAAACAGTTACATTGAACTATAGAATATTTTATACATTGATATTTGTTTGAGAGTCTTATTAGCATATCTAATTATTAATATTCATATGGAGAGTTTTAAATTTGAAGGCTAGTACACATTAGAGTTACAGAAATTTTAACACAGGAAACTCTGTTCTCCACTCAACAGTACATTTTTCACTTGGCTTTTTGAATTGTTTCCACTTTAAAAAATTCTTAGTGGGCTCTGAACAAAATCGTTTTGCTACCACAACAAATTATGAATGATTTGCCCATGTTTTTTAATTTTCCGCCTCCCTTCCTCTTAGGGTTTTGTGAAAGCCTATTGAAAAACATATTCACAAGTAAATAAAAATAAATTGAGCAAATGAAAGAAAAAGAAAAGAACAATTTGTAAGAAAGAAGTTGTCTTTGTTTTTTTGTTTGTTTGTTTCAAGACTATATCCTGTTTTAATTAGTTGAACTAATAGGTGCTTGAAGAGAGCCTGAAAGATAAAGAGTGTAAGTGGGTTTAGAAAAGCTTTCTTGAAAGGTACTTTTTACTTTAAAGCCATTTTTGTCCCAGCTTATGTATCTACTTAAATCTTTTCTAAAATGACATAAAGCAGGGATTTCAACTTAATGTGGAGAAACATTCCATTCCTTAAAAATGACAACATCATTACCACCTTCAAAAACTAGTGCTAAGCCATACATCACTCATTTCTTTAGAAAAGCCTTGGCTTTGGGGGATTTGTTTATTCACTGGACCAAGTAGGCTTCTTTCATTCACTAAACCAAGATTTTCTGACAGTGGAGAATAGAATTAACTCATTGATAGGAACTGTGAGTTTTGGTAGACAATGGTTAACTTAATGTCCCATATTTAATATCTTGTCTCCTAACAGTTAAATATCTGTTCTGTTTTACAAGTAGCTTTCAATGTTTAAAAATAGACACCAAGTAGGCCATACTAGTGTTTTTGAGATATTTCAGAATGTAAATTTGGAATATTAGGGAGAAATGTTTAGTTTCAAAGTGATTAAATTTCCCTACATTTTAAGGCATAAACTTGAGTAAATTTAAATATACTACATTTAGATTGTGATTTCTACTTAGGTTTAATAAGTACTCATTTATTTATCCATAAGACTTCTTTCACAGAAGAACTGAATGTAATAATTTAGGAAAACTTTTACATTTATGAAGTAGTACTTTAAAATGCACAAAGTATTATCTTGCAGCTCATTCAACAAATATTATTGGTTTTATTGTTGTTACTATTTTTCTTATCTCCACTCTGTAGGTGAGGAAATTGATCAGGCTGAAATAAGTCATTGGGCTAGAACATAACAGATTTCTGAAATAAAACAGTATTTCCTTGGGCCGGCCGAGTGGC